ATGAGGAGGCCCAGGTTTTTGTCACGCTGATGTTTTTTTAAATGTAAGATTCTACCAGCGTTATGACAAATACTATGAATGCATTATATTGATTTTATTTTTTGGTATAAAGCAAACTACACCATAAGTGGGGTACTTGGACACCACATCCCATAGACAAACATCAAATTTCAAATTACCCAAACTAGGACTTTTAAGGTGTTACACTTATAGAAACTACTAAATAATGAATATAAACACATATGTGACTGGACCATCTATTATGGGTTGGGGAAATGAAGAGAGTAAGGTGTTTATCACCGAGGTGGGCTCTGTCAGTGCAGTGAGGCCCGGTGTTCGCCCTCTGCGCTAAGAAATGGTCAAAGTGGATATTGGGTCTCACACCCATGGGATCTGTCTGGGTGTTTTGGGGACTTAGGGTTCCAGTGTTGTGTTTATTGGGTGAACTGGATAAAAACAGCCTATGGACTTTGGTGTCTTGTCCTAAAGGAAGGAGCTGACTGTGTTGAGTAGAGTATTGTGTAAGTCACAAGTTAAATGTTTCTGGCCACTAGTAGTAGTAACTGGGGAGAGCCCTGAAGTCTCTGGGAGCAAGATTGCCGACCCTGATGAGGAAACTGGCCTTACGCTCAGAATAAGTCCTTTGCTTTGAAACTTTCAGACAGGGGTATTTAATCTTTTCCTTTTCTAAGTCGTGGCACCCTTTAAAAGTATGCAATTTCTGAAGGCACCCCAGTCTAAAATGTCATAGATTTTAAGGGGGGCCCCATGCAAAAACACACAAAAAAGTCACATCGAAGTGCCCCCTTCAAATCAAGATGCCCCCCTTCACATCAGAGTCGCCCTTTACATCAGTAGCCCCCCCTTCATATCAGTAGCCCCTCTTTCACATCAGAAGCCCTCCTTTCACATCAGGAGCCCCCCCTTTACATCAGGAACTGCCTTTCACTTCAGAAGCCCCCCTTTCACATCTGAAGCCCACCTTCCACATCAGGAGCCTCCCTTTCACATCAGAGTCCCCCTTTACATCAGGAGCCCCCTTTCACTTCAGAAGCTTCCCTTTCCCATTAGGAGCCCCCCTTTCACATCAGAGTTTCCCCTTTACATCAGGAGCCCCCGTTCACCTCAGTCCTCATTCCCCCCTTCAAATCACAGTGCCAATACCACAACATTTTGAGGCACCCCTGAGGAAGCCAGAACGCACACCAGGGAGCCGGCACCCTGGTTAGGAAAGGCTGATCTATACAATAAAATATATTTATTATAAAACCAAGGACTAAAATTGGTTATATTGGTGGCTAACAAACAACAATAACAAAATCCTTTGTCTTTTCCTCTTAATCTTTTGACTGTAAATCTTGTGGTTGGGTATTACATTTTTACAGACTAAACTTTATTATTATGTCTTCTGGTAATGTATATAAAATACATAGATTTTTTTTTCTTTACTGTTTTATTTTATTGATCACATCCAAATAGGCCCGATCATGTAACAAGCTTTTCAATGACAAATAAATGACATTATACATACAAAATACACATGTAGACATACAGTACATATATACATAAGGTGTATATATAGAGAGATAGATAGTAACATGTGCGATTCGCTTCGTTCCGAATCGAAATTTGGGCAATTCGGAGATTCGGATATATCCGAATTCCGAATAACAATTATAACGAATGCAAACTAATCCATTGATCAGTTAGGGTCTGGAACTCACTGCCACAGGCGGTGATTTCAGCAAAGAATGTGGAATGATTCAAGGAACTTTTGGACGATTCCTTAAGGGACCGTAATATACAGGGGTACAGGTACTCCTAGAATGAGATCCTAATAGGTTGGACTTGATGGACTAATGTCTTTATTCAACCTCAAATACTATGTAACTATGTAACCCGAATTTCCGATTCCGAAATTCGTTAGCGGTAGTGTGTACGAAATTCCGTTTGTTGGACGAAATTTTGTTCCAAAGTGACATTTGAGACATTGTTTTTTGTTTTGCAAATGTCACTTTGCTGCAACGAACGAAATGAAAACTAAACGACAATTCATACAGACTACCGCTAGCGAATTTCGTCTGAATCCGAATCCCGAAACAAATTTACTTTTGGGCACGGATCCCGAAAAACGGAATAACGCAAAATCTAATAGATAGATAGATAGAGAGATAGATAGATAGATAGATAGATAGATAGATAGATAGATAGATAGAGAGATAGATAATAGATATCTACTGTAGATAGTAGCATTTAAAGTGCTGTAAGGGCTTGTTCACACGACGTCCGTATTCTGTGCTGACCTGATCCGTACGCTCCTGCACTAAATATGCATCCCAATGTATCCCTATGTGTTTTATGGGCTACAGTTCTCACGTGCGCAGTCCGTTCCGTTCCTGACTGAAAAAATACTGCATGTCACATTTTGTCCGGTCTTGAAACTGTCAGGAAACGCACACGTGTAAAAAACGCAACGAAAACGCGCAACGCAAACTGAACGCAATGCAGCTAAGCAAAAAAAAAATGTTTTCTTGCTCCACTTTTTATGATATCATCATCGTTGGACTTCCTGGTTGTGGTGGAGCATCAGAGGGAAAACCAGCAGTCATGACTAACATGGTCCTGGACATTGAGCGATTCGTCAGATTGATGGAGCATGCGCCAATGCTCTACGACCGCCGCCACACACAGTTTAAAAATGTGCATCAAAAAAATAAAAAGTGGATAGGTATAGCTTTAGAGCTGTATGATAAATACTCAGTGTACAGTAGTGCCCAGAAGAAAGAATGTTACGAGAAGGCAGAAGTGACCTCAGAGGAAGAATCTGCATACTGACAGCCCCATGGCTTGAAAACAAAAATAAAACTGTTAGCATCTGGACCGAAAAAGCGTCAAAAACGCACTGCATGAGTAGCACCGCGTCTGCAGATCCGCACCTGATACAGGCCTGAAAATCATGTGCACAGGCCCTAAATGTATTTCTATATCTCTATACTTTATTTGACTTTTAACATACCTTTTTTTTAGCGATTTAGGCTTTTCATCACATTTTGCCCTCACACATACACAGCACAACAGTGGAGAAGAAAACAGCTTTTTTAGGAAAACTGTGTGTGTGTGTGTAATATATGTGTTGTTCAATTTTCACCTAGGACACATACAAGCAGGTGCAAAATGTAAATATGTTTAATTAACAGCATTTCAAAAATTCTTCTGTTTACTTAAGATTAAAAAGGGGAAAAAAAAACAACAAACATTTTGCATACATATTGATGATCGTGATCTAATCTTAGAAACTTGAAATTAAAACCTCACAGCTGCTTATCTAATTGTAAATGGAGTTCACATTAAAAACAAAGCCGCCGGAAAGTCACATGCTCGTTGTGGCAGGGTGTCAGCTCAGCCCTTTTTTTAGTAAGGATGTAGTGGCGTCACAAGGGGGTGCGGTCCGCACCGGGAGACACCATCAGAGGGGGTGACACCAAAATGACTGACAGTCATTTTGGTGTCACCCCCTCTGAAATGTCGGACACTTGGTTATGGACCAAGAGCCTGACAGATGCACAAGAGAGGAGGGGACCCAGTGCATACCTTATCCCACTGGGTGAACATCCCCTCCTCTCTTTGCTGGCGTCCATCACCGAGATGGTGGGTGGCTGGTAAGCAGGCATGATGTCATTAAGCACGTGATGTTGTCACGTAATGGCATGAGACTACTCCCGGTGACACCACGCCTGGGGACGCCCCTGTAAGGATGACTCTAGTGCTGCCCCAAGCCCCCATTCATGGCAGTAAGGAAAATGCATGTCTCCCACCTGTTTCCTACAGTGCAAAGCCTGGGGACTGATTGAACTATCAGCAGGCCGAGGCATTACTACACACACATCTCTGTTTGTGCTGGTTATTTAAAAAGTGGCTTTAAAGTATATCTAAAACGAAAAGCAAAAATGTTCTATATTTCAGCTTACCGGTCCTTAGATGTGGTGGCTGCATTCGTTTTCTCTTTTTTTAGAATGAGAACATTTTTAGCAAGAAAAGGAAATACCTGTAGATCTTGCCCAAAATGCAGTGTTCTTTTCACTTCCTGTGAGCTTTGAAGAGTATGTCCACTTTTGTTCTGAAAAAAAATTGATTCTCTCTGGGTGATCTGTGTACGTTACAAGGATTGTAACAAACCTTGTTGCAGTTTCCTACCCTTGTCTGTTCTGAAGAAATAGCAATTTGTTGCATCATGTCCTTACCAGACTGACCCCTGAATGGGAGGGTCTGGGTTCATTATAACCAGCGGGTGGACTTTCTGTGTTGTAATGAGGAAATGTGCATTGTCGGCATCCCTTTAGTAGCAAT